ATCAAACATCTCCGACCCTAATTCCAGACACCCTTGTAACCCTAACCCTAACCCTAACCCTAACCCTAACCCTAACCCTAACCCTAACCCTAACCTGCCTAACCCTAACCCTAACCGCATCCTCACCCTAACCGCACCCGAACCCTAACTGGTACGCAAAAACAGGTGGCTGACGGCGCGCACGTATAGCGCGAATGTGATTCATTTCGGGAAAACCGTTTGAAAAGACCGCGGCGCGCACGATGTACCTCTTCGGAACGAAGCTATATCCAGCGATCCTCAACGCGCGCGACCGCGCACGCCTCACGCAGCTCAGAATAGAAAAAGAGGTGCGCTCAGTGTGCGCTTGATTTTGGCCCCCCGCTTCTCGAGCGCATGACGTGGTGTGGGGGGGAGCGTTTGCGCAACCGTGAAACGAACACGCGTCGCCTAAACGCTCGTCATGGCGTGTTGAGGGGGGCGATGGAGCACGAGCGGTCTTGAACAGGCACGCACGCACGCACGCACACGCACACGCACACTTTATCACATTTCTCTCTACGCGACGCGCTTCTCGGCACGCTTCTTGCCCTTGACGCTTCCCGCCTCGCGTTTCCTGCGTTTGCCCTTTTCGAATGCATTGGCGGATACGAGATCTCTTCCGAGTGGATCCTCTGGCTTGACGGCATAGATTCGGACCTGGGGGCGAGAAGGAGCGGGCGGGAAGGAGCGGGCGAGAAAGAGCGAGGCGTGAGTCAGCAGGCGCAGATTCGCGCACACGCACGCACGCACGCACACGCGCCGTCGACGCGCCGCCGCCGCCGCCGCCGCCGTCGACTCACAATCCAATTCGAACTCGTAAAAGCCTCATCCAGCACATCCAACTGCGGCGCGACGCTCGCAGTCTGCGTTCCTCGCACCCTGTCCATACCCGGTCTACCGCCATACAGCTCATTGAAGCGGTAATAGCTCATCTTGTACATGAGACTATTCTTCATCGTCTGACTCGCTCCATCGTCAATCTTGAATTGCCCCTGCGGCGTAAAGAAATCGCTCTCCTTGATCTCGTTGGGCCAAATCCCTTGCGCGATTCGAATCATCCACAAATACTTGTTGATATCATCTCCCGAATAACCCAACAGTCCGCCAAAAATGATGAGCACATAATCGACGTCGTGTTTGCGGAGAATGGGCAGAGCCCGCTCTTCCGGACTGCTCATCGCCTTGCCGACCGTGGCAATGTGGGTATTGTTCCACGTGTTATTGTCCACGAGCGTAGGCCTATCCGCCATGCCGCTGATCTGATATCCGTAATCCCACCAGCTCATCACCTTGGCGTCCGTAGCGGTATTCTGTCGCAACCAATAGTACGCCTCTCTAAAGTCGTCGATGATGTGCTGCGAACCGTCTGGATTGCGCGATGCCAGCACGACGGATGGCGAAGAGTAGGCCGTGGAAGTGACGAATGTGCAGTGCAGGACAAAGACGAGGAGGAGGAGGAGTGTGTAGATGGTGACGACGATGCGCGTGTCGAGACCGTAGACGGCGGGGGCGGGTGCGTGGGCGGGCGAGCGTGACACGCGCGGCGTCTCTCGCCGGGTGTCCTTTTTCGCGCTCGCGCTCGCGATAGACTCCCTCGACAACTGCTCGGCCTGCTCTGCGGGCGCTTCCGGCTCGTGCGGGTCCAGATACGTGTCCAGCAAGGTGGAGACGGCGACGGCAGCGGCGACGCAAACGACTGGCGTCAAGGTGAGCATGAGGCGAACCATGACGCCTGCAAAGTAGGAAGCCATGACGGCGTACAAGATGACGAACACGTGCTCGTCGCGCAGCTCCCTAAAGAGCAAGTAGACCCCCGCAGGAAACAAAAAGATCAACATCTCGAGGTCGAAAAAGAATGCTGGCCAGGCTGGAGGTTGATGTTCGGATACAGAGGCGATGATTGGAATGTGCTTTTTCGCATAGCCCGTATCCCACAAGCTGTAGAATCGGCCCGTCCAAGGTGCAATGTACCCTCCATACGTCAACGCGACCAGCGCCGAGAATGCCAGACCGAATACGACGACGACGGCGACTGTGAGGAGCAGTTTGAACTGTTTGGACGGGACGTGCGATCGCACCAATTCCACAAACGCGACGAGTTGCAGCAGTCCAAAGACGCCTGGCGCGGCGCGGAGCGGCGCGTGTGTGTGCGTGCGTGGCGGGTGTCAGCAAATACTCGACGCCATCCCCGGCGCGTGTCAGCAAATACTCGACGCCGTCGCCCGATTCAGCGAGTCCATCCCCCCCGTCTTGAGTCCATTCCCCGCCCGCTCGCCATCCCCCGGTCGTGAGTCCATTCCCCGCCCGCTCGCCATCCCCC